AAAACTATTTTTATTTTATTCTGATCAAAGTATCACGGAACAACTGAGCAGAAAAAATTCTACTGTACAGTTGGACACTATGGTTGAAGCCAAAGACCACATAATTGGAGATCTCAAGTGTGCTAACAAAGAATTACAACATCAGCTTTCCATGATGCAGGTAATGTGTAACACCATCTATTACAAAGATACCATGAATGGTAACATCTGAAACTTGAAAATAACATAAACTTCTCATTATAGCTAAAATCTCCTTCATCAGATGCATGGAGTGGAAAACCTTTTGAAAACTTTTTTCTATCTTTATTAGGAACAGCTTAAGAAACAGAATCAAGGGATAACTGTGAAACAAGAGTTGATGTCTCCACCATCTTCTTCTACTGATGAGGCTCTTGCTGCCCCAGTATTTGACAACGACAATGATCACTCAGTTCATCTTGAAATAGATGTCACACCACTGAAAAAAAAAACATCAAAGCGAACTCGGGCTACAACTAAACGAGGAAGTAAAAGAAAGAATCCTGATGAGGTTGGTGATTGAAAACTACAAGTGCATGTATATACTTTCATTCTGTATTCCATGGTTTTAGGTTCATAGGAATATTTTATTTATGTGCACTTGAGACAGTAACTATCAATTTCTCAAATAAGGGTTGGAAGCTTCATTAATGCAAAAAAATGCTGCCATGTCCGTTTTCCTGGTTCTGTTATTAATGTGAAATAATATATACCGGCACCCCTGCCTATGAGAGGCAAGCAAATTGAATTTTCTTCATACTTTTAGGAAAATGAATTAAATGTTAATGTTAAAGAAGAACTATGTGATGTCCCTGTGAAAACAACAAGGAGACGAAAAGTTAAGACGAGTGCTAAAGAGACTGTATATGATGAAGAAGTTGAGCCACAGAGTCCAGCAAAGGTGCCAGTTGTCCTCTTAAGATCTTTCTTGGCACCCACAGTTCTCTTCACTGTAGTGTGTAGATATATAGAGAAGTTATTGCAGTTCACTCTATTTCCAGCTCTTAACATCTAACATTCATCTTTAGTATCACCACCAAGCCTTTTCCATAAAGTAATAGCTTCCTCAGCTTTTCATTTCCTCATTTCTTCTCTTATAGATTCCATTTAGATATTTAATATATTTATATTACAGTCAGTTCTTAAAGGACTTCTAGATCCAGTGGTGAATGATGGAGGCAGCTTGTTTAATAATATAGTGATCCACATGTTAAATTTTGATATTTCTTTGTCTGCCTTTTATGTACCATGTCTGTAAAAAATGATGCAAAACAAAAAAATTGACTTTGGTGTCTAAAAAGTCTAAAACCCTTCTTTTTGTCTCAAAATCAACACTGGATCGCACTAACATAGCAACCAAATAACTCAAATTTCTTATTAGCTGAAAAATCTGTTGGTGGATAGGAACATTAAACCAAATTGTGTATATCTATCAAAGTCATTCAGCTGCAGTGCACCTAATATGCTAATGATAATTTTCCATGCCATGTACTCACTGCATTAGACTAATGTCATTCATTTCACTTCTCTTCCCTGCAGCGTAATTTCACAATAAGTGTCAGTGGATGTTGGAAGGTACAATGGGATGAAATTTCCTTTTTAAACATTTTTTTCTACTCATCTTTAAATGTATAAATTATATACTGTATTTCAAATTCTGTATTTTTAAATGTTGTAATATCTGCTGCTTTATAGAGAATGAATTCAGGCAGAGATTCATGTCTAAACATGTAAACCGGTATTGTAGGTGGTTTAATCCAGAGAGAAACTCATCACATGCTACTTATGCGACTGATTCAATGACATACTAGTTCTGAACTTAATGACTGTTTTCAGGCACAAGTTTGACTTGTATCGATGTTTCCGAACGGATCTGATCATTCCTTGTGTAGGAGGCTGTGTGTGGATAATGTGCATAATTTGCTGCTGAGATTTTCATATCATTTTACTTTATTCATTCTTTGTCTTTGGAAACAGTTGATGGTGATAACAATAATAGATGGAAATTTGAACTCCAAGCATGTAGATGTAGTAGGACTGTAAACAGACTTCATGTGTCACTGATGTGTATTACACACCTAGGCTCACATGTATGGATTACTGTAATCTTCATAAGCCAGACCTCGGTTACAATTTCTTTCCATACACATTTCTATCTCTTCTGGGAATCAAAATCTGATATGTGTTTATTTCTTGTGAATTTAGAAATTGGAATATCTTTTTCTTTTTATCCAGAGATCAAACTTTGAAAGCCATGACTCTCATAATGCAGAGGAAAGTAACACAAAGCGTCCAGCCTTGACTAAGATTGGAGATTACATTCAAAACTCCCCACTTGGCAAATCAGGTAATTATTATCAATAACAACTCTGGTCAGAACTTAGATATCAGTTCCTATATTTTCAGCACAAATTCAATGAGAGCATAGATATGTGATTATGCCAGTAAGCTCAATTGATTTACTATGAATTGTATTAGATTGTATCACACAGTGCTGTAGTCATCGTGTAAGGGGTGATCTCATATTCAAACATGCAGCTCAAACCTACGAAAACCCAAACCGCCCGAACAAAACCCAGTTTTGCAGTTTGGAAGTTTAAACAATAGACAGTGCGGTTCAGGACGACCGCACGAATTTGCATAAAAACTACGGTTCGAACCGATCTCATTCACACCTCATTCAAGCTGTTGTTTATTTTTAGGATTGACAGAGTTTACATTGCTTTTTGAAGACTAGATAGTTGCCTCTAAAATGTGTCGATTTATTGGTGTACAGTAGTCATTTTATTGTGTGCCTTGCCTAAAAAAAACACACTTTTATATATTGGTGAACAGCGTGCTGAATAAATTGTTTTGTTTTGATAAACTGTTATGCTTGAGTCGCAAATTGAGCAGAGGACGTGAATCAGACTTTTCATTGGGCTGGACAATTGATATGTGTCTCTGACAGCTAATAAGTATCAAAAGACGAACATTTGTTGATACAAAGTCGTACTTGAGACTTACGCTACTGTGTTCAAGCCTTTACGGCATTGCAAAATCCGGAAAAACAAATGCTGCGTACGCCATGAACATTTATTTCGATTTGCTGCACATCAGTTATTTGCAGTTTTTCTTATTCAATTTCCAGTGACACGAAGTATCAAAACAGAAAATTAAATTAAATGGACTCGCGCTGATTATTTATGGCTATTCATCTGCAGGCGAGCTGCTTATAAAAAACGAACCCTGACCTCTGAAAATACCTTATTCATAGAGTGCCTTGTACCTAAGACCGTCGCCCAGGGCGACACAGTGCACGTTGCAATATCGCAATCGATGCATGCTGGGTGACAAGGGGAAATTCTGATTGAGGTAACCATAATGGCTGCGTTGAGTGCATGATTTTCTGCGATGTTTAAAACAACACCTCGCTGCCTACTTCGCCCACAGTCCCTCAAGGCACTGTGCTTCAATGTATTTTCTAAAATAATCGTTTATTTTTAATTAACGGCAGCGGTAAATACCCGTAATTTCCCCGCAATGCCGTCAGCTGACAATGTTACGGTGGTCGTAGCGCCGGAGTCGTAGCATTAGCCCCGCCTTTGGTTTTGACACAGTGATAGAGGGACTGTGGTTTTCAGATGCCTTCGTAGAAAACAATGTTGCCATTATCGATTTAATACTTGACTTTATGAACTGACATGGACACAAAACTGACCGTACTTGTTGCGGACAAAATGCTCATTAAAATTCTAGTGCATTTTTTCCCTGTTCTGTTTCAAACATTAATTTACCACATATATCACAATAGAGAGGGTTTATGGTATCACTTGATTCACATTTAATGACAAAATATAACAAACCATCACGTCTGTAATTAATTCCAGATAAATTGAATAACAGTAACAATTGTATTGACTTGTACCAAAATGTAAGTTGTGGGAAACTGATTATTATTACCAATCACTGAAATAAATGAATATAATTTTCATCACACTTATAATTGACATGATGTAAATAGATTTGTGAAACAAATGCAAGTTTGTTTTTATTAGCATTTACATGTACAAGACTTGCAAAGAAAAAAAAATCGCTGCTGTAATTCTTAACACAAGTATAACACTCAGTATAAACATTGGGCTCCATAGTATACATCTTATTTTTTTCCTACTGAAACTAGGCTGAAACAGTATTGTAAGAAAAACCTAGGTTTCCCTAGGTCTGTCTTCTTTGTTCTCTGTTGTTTGTTTTCAGTGGGGGGGGGGGGGGGGGCGTTAATGGGCAGTTAATCCGGAGGTTAGGTTCAAACCTACTACTAATTTGCATATTGTAGGTCTAGTAGGACTGAATAGGGCAGGTCGGGTTAACCCAGGTTTGACCCAGGTGTTTGAATATGAGATCACCCCTCAGTGCATCTTTGAATTGCATGTAAACAAATGGTGTATTTTACACACTACACTTGTATAAATCATGATGTATCAGGACTACTACTGCCCTTAAACTACTAAAAAACATTACAGTTGTGCTGCACAAAATCAAGGGCAAGTGGGCATTTATATTGCAAATTCCAGTCTGGACACTGTTCTCAACGTATTTGACAACTCTGTGTGTCCAAGTAGACTATGGTGCAGATGGTTTTGTCTTCAGACACAACACTACACAATTCTGATTCCTGAATTATTGCGATGTAATTCTTTTTGCACAACAGACGAGGGTAGGACAAAATTTTCCGGTTTGTTGACCTCAGTTCACGCAATATGTGCAAGCACATAAACGTGTAGATGCTATCAATTCGGGAATCAGGAATTGAAAATCAACTTTGCTATTACAGCCGTTCTGAGAATTATTCGGACAGTCAGTTAGCAATATATGTTGGAACTTTGCAAAACATTTGGGTCTTTTCCAATCTAGACTTGATGGCGCCGTTGTATTGGCACGCCCACAATTGGAATCATTCCATATCTTGCAAGATGCGGGTAAAACGCTGTTTTCAAAACGACATGCGTTGGTTACCATATATTAACAGGTTATATGTTGTATATGCATTCAAAGTGTTATTTTAAAATGTTATAACCATCTGAGTCCACCTGACATAGCGTAATTTACAAAACAACTCCCGAGTGTTGAGTAACCCCAGGTATTAATGAACTCGTCGTTGGCGGGAAGGCTCAAAGTAAAGTTTCTTAGCGGGACGCGCTGCAGTTTCGCGACAGTTTTGGGCCAAACTAAAAG